GTGGTTCATGGTGGCATGGTGGGTATACTATATATGGTGGTCATGGTGGCATGGTGGGTATACTATTTATGGTGATTCATGGTGGCATGGTGGGTATACTATATATGGTGGTTCATGGTGGTGGGTATACTATATGGTGGTTCATGGTGGCATGGTGGGTATACTATATATGGTGGTTCATGGTGGCAGGTGGGTATACTATATATGGTGGTTCATGGTGGCATGGTGGGTATACTATATATGGTTCATGGTGGCATGGTGGGTATACTATATATGGTGGTTCATGGTGGCATGGTGGGTATACTATATATGGTGGTCATGGTGGCATGGTGGGTATACTATATATGGTGATTCATGGTGGCATGGTGGGTATACTATATATGGTGGTTCATGGTGGCATGGTGGGTATACTATATATGGTGGTTCATGGTGGCATGGTGGGTATACTATATATGGTGGTTCATGGTGGCATGGTGGGTATACTATATATGGTGGTTCATGGTGGCATGGTGGGTATACTATATATGGTGGTTCATGGTGGCATGGTGGGTATACTATATATGGTGGTTCATGGTGGCAAGGTGGGTATACTATATATGGTGGTTCATGGTGGCATGGTGGGTATACTATACAGTATATGGTGGTTCATGGTGGCATACAGGCTTATGGTAATCGTAATTGGTAATCATAATCGATTACATCAATTTATTTTGCAATGCAATCGTAATCACTTATATTTAAAATGTAATTGCTTTTATAATTGTTTTCGAGATTGCTTTTGTGTATTCCTTTTATGTTAAATATGAAAATGTTACACATCCTGGTTACTGGTATAATAGCTAGATGGGCTGCTTGTAATGTGTGTACTAGGAGTAGTCACCTATCAGCCAGGTGCAGGTAATTCACCTCAGTTACTACCCTAAGTCATGGTAGGTGGGGATTCATGGTGTGGTGGGGATTCATGGTATGGTGGGTATTTATGGTGGTATAATCTTAGTGGTTCAGAATGATATAATTGAATATTTGTAGGCAGTAGGCAGCTATCAAACAGGGAGGTACTACCGCCTGGGAAGATATTGGAAGCATTATGTGTTGTCTAATGGTAGACCCTGCTGCCATATGGCATCATGAAAATTGTGACCGAGTCCCAGGTTGCTGATCTGTCTTTCTGCCTCATTTACACACAATTGCAGGGTCTCAATTGTTTTTCTTACTATTGACAACACAACATACATACATATATCATTTCTCATTGTTGATATTTTTACTTTTTTATTTTTTTATTTATTTATGGCTCTTTATAATTATAGGGGGTATTATTATTTATAATTGTTATACATTATTATTATTATTATTATTATTATTATTATTATTATTTTCTTTTATTATAATTGTTATTTATTTTTAAATATTTTATTAATTTTATTATTATTATTATTATTATTATTATTATTATTATTATTTTTATCATCATAAGACCTGTATAATAATTATTATTATTTTATAATATTTTCGCCCCCAGGCCTTGATGTGGGTCATTAAAAATGACCTGTGCCCGGGTGGGCTAATGCCCGTAAAAAGAAAGTTGAGCACAGTGATCTACAGTGAGGCACTATTTTCTATGGTGAGGCACTATGATCTATGGTGAGGCACTATGATCTATATGGTGAGGCACTATGATCTATGGTGAGGCACTATGATCTATGGTGAGGCACTATGATCTATATGGTGAGGCACTATGATCTATATGGTGAGGCACTATGATCTATGGTGAGGCACTATGATCTATGGTGAGGCACTATGATCTATGGTGAGGCACTATGATCTATGGTGAGGCACTATGATCTATGGTGAGGCACTATGGTCTATGGTGAGTAATTGTGATCTATGATGAGCCAGTAGGATTTAGTGTGAAGTACAAATATCTGCAGTAAGGCACCATGATTTGAAATTAAAATAATTTATGGTGAGACACTGATTTACGGTGGGGCACTATACTTTATGAGTCACTATGGCACTGATCTATGGTGGTGGGACAATACGGTTTGTGTCTAGGCACTAAGACCTGTATAGAGGGTTACTAAAGGCCGTGGTCAGGCACTATGATTCACGGACACTATAGGAAGGTGGTGACTGATGTAAATAAAAGGGGGGTCGGGGGGGTCATTGCCAGGCTCGAGAGCTCATCATTGACAAAGAAGGTTCTGGGGCCTGGTTAGCTTTACACCATGACATCGATAATCTACTGTAGATTCTAGAGTAAAGTCTGATCAGCCTAGCACGGTGGCGAAGGTTAGCCTAGCACAGTGACGGGGGGATTAGTCTAGCATAGTGACAAGGATTAGCCTAACACAGTGACCGAGGGAGGGGGGTTAGCATAGTGACGAGGATTAGCCTAACACAGTGACCGAGGGGGGGGGGTTAGCCTAGCATAGTGACGAGGGTTAGCCTAGTACATTGGTCGTTACCTTCAGGGTCCTGGTTAATTTATCTCCAGTGTTCCAGCTTGTTAGCCTTGCAGTGACGTAATCAGCCTAGAACTGTGACTGTGGAAGCTTTGCATAACTATCTTAGCCAAACGAACATAAATGACACAGTTAGCTTTGCACAGTGACATGGATAATCTACCGTCGAGTTCTGACCAGTGTAGGGCATTGACCTGTCAAGCCTAGTAACACAAATTTCAAAATAATAACAGAATACGCAACAAAACGGTGACAAGACTCCGAATATCAAAAGGACCAGGGTGTGTATGTTGGCAACGAACTGAAGTTCTCGGGCCACTAACTGAAGTTCTCGGGCCACTGTTAGAAAAAGGTGAATCAAGCGAGTAAACTAGTAGGTCATATAAGAAGGTCGTTTAGATATCCCGTAACGCTCCTGAAGAGTGGGGTGCTTCCCCACCTGAAGTAGTCAATCCGTCTGGTCCCCGTGATATGCTAGAGACAGTCAGTTGATTGAAAATGTCCATAGGAGGCCCAACAGACTGGTGCCTGTACTACGGCACTTCAGTTGCCCCAAAAGATTAGAACGCCTGTCACTGCCTAGTTTATACTATAGACGGGCAAGGGGTGACCTAACTGAAGTTATACTCGTAAACATCTCTTTTATTTTTATCCTTTTCACCACTGATCGGCTCGTTAGCCGCTTGGGCGATCGGTCACGTCTCTGTTACGCACTGTTGGCAAGTACTGGGCATGCACCGGCTCCTGAATGTACTTGAACCTGCTCCAGTGTTGGTCAAGTCTGGTCTTGAAAGAGCTCACACTCGGTGCCGCCACAACACTTTCTGGTAGATTGTTCCAAGAGTTCACAACTCTCAATCCGAAAAAGTTTGCCCTCAGTTTTTTTGGACCTGCAGCTTCTTCAATCTTGAGCTGTGACCCCTTGTGGGGCGGGCGTCCGCCAGCTCCAAGTAAGGACACTCGACTGCGTAGTGCCCCCTGAGATGGTTATACACCTCTATTAGGTCGCCCCTTGCCCGTCTGTAGTATAAGCTAGGCAAGTTCAGGCGCTCCAATCTCTCAGTGTAGTTGAGGCCAGAGGGCACTACTGAGTCCATATCTGGAGCTGGCGGACGTCCGCCCCACATGGGGTCACAGTTCAAGGTTGAAGAAGCCACAAGTCCAGAAAACTGTGAAGGGTAACTTTTTCGGAGTGAGAATATAAAATTGTGGAACAATCTGCTAGAGCGTGTTGTGACGGCACTGAGTGTGAGCCCTTTCAAGATCAGACTTGACTAACACTGACGCAGGTACAGATACAACAGCGTGTAACAGAGACGTGACCGACCGCCCAAGCGGCTAACAAGCCAATTCCCGGGCCGGTGGAAGTTGTTTGGACTTGTTTCCTAGCCCCCATTAGTCCCTGTTCACCTAGCAGTAAAGTAGGTACCTGTTGTAAGTCAAAAGTTGCGAATTCGTATTCAGGGACAAGTTGTTGGAGCTTCCAATAACCTGATGACATAAATCACTGACTCTTCAGGCTTCTACGCCCTTGACTCTTCAGGCTTCTACGCCCTTGACTCTTCAGGCTTCTACGCCCTTGACTCTTCAGGCTTCTACGCCCTTAACTCATGAGACATAAAGGCAAGCATGAACTTAGCATGCTTCCCTGTTGGGCGCTGTAAACGCTTCTGCGCTTCACCTTACACAAGGATGTAGGGGAGTGCCCAATAAAAAAAAATAAAAAAAAAAAATCAGTGGCGAAGAAGAGGATAAAAGTAAAGTAAAAGTAAAATCACTTAACCTGGAAACATCGATATGACACAATGAGTAAATTAAGTTTTCATATCCTGGGTTACAAAGAAATACTGTAGTTACTGCGGGCTCAGGAGGTCGGATAAAGTATCACTTGTTTAAGAACACTTAACTCACAGCACAAGTGTAAGTAGTGTAGTTAAACCACTTGAGATCCGGCACACGCAAGATATCATGTTATAACTTCTTAACACAAACGTGCATTTGTTAATGAGCCCTGAAACCTGAAAAAAATAAGTACAAATGTGAAGACATACAAAATAGGTGGATTATATTACCATGACCCAAGAAGTAAAAACAGTCTATCATGAGAGCATTATCTCCGCTGAGTGGGGACTAATGGACAGCGGTTTATCATATTCATTTAGGTCGATGCTGTTATTTATCATCCATGGCTATTGTGATAGTTTAAACTCAGCACACACAATAATCTTCATGTCCACTTTTTACACTTAAGTCACTGTCACTGGACCAAGGACTCTATTTACCAAGACAAATGTGTTGTAGCTTCTGAGTGATTCTAGGGGTTATGTCAAGGGAAAGGCATGATGGTAGTGAGGTTGTTGGTAATGATTGTGGTCATGAGGATGCTAGTAGTGGTAACGATGGGAGAGATAATGATGCTGGTTAGCCTGGTTATAAAGGAGAGGTTGGTGGTGGTGGTGGTGGTGGACGGGAGGAAGGTTGTGGTGTGGAGTGGAATGGCGGCCAGGCGTGCCAGCTGGCCCAGCCAGCACCCAGCACCAGCAGTTGACTGTGGGTGGTGGATGCGGGCAGGCGATCTGGGTGTTGACGTTAAAGCGCTGCTCCCCCGGGACCAGCTGTCGCTGCCACCAGTGACCCATTCAGATATAAACCACTGTGTGTTTCACTTCACCTTTCTGTGGATTTAACTTATTTACTATAGTGTTATCAGAGGACTATTTTCAATAGTCACTTCAACACATCGGAACTTATGAGAGGTGTCCACTTCGTCAAGTGCATAACCTCTTACATACACGTTAAATAACCGACAGTATAAAATGAGGTAAGGGATAATTTTAGCTGTTTTTCTTTCATCTTGACATTATATTTAATGAAGTCATTATTTAGGGAATTAATGAGCTCGTGTCTGCCTCATAAATATTAATGAGAATCAGGCGTATCTGCAGATTAGTACAGGGTTGATATCTACCCAGAAACACGTTCCTGTTCGTCTCTTTACACTTAGCTTGTTAATACACGTGATAATTGTTCTTCAATCGGTCTACGAAGGCATTTGGGTGGCCCATGTTTTTTACTGTTGAATTTCCATTTTGCCGAACTTCTGCCTACCAAAACTCAGTTATGCCTCTTGAGAACACTATGGAAGTCCCTGCTTATTCTTTTCTTTTATATAACAGCCATCAGTTCAAATCACCCTGTTTCAAATATCACCAATCTCACCAGTGGGATATTTACTGACACCTGTCTGATCTCTCCCTGTTTTTTTTGTTTTTTTGTTAAAACACATGTTAATTACGTAGCTAGACAGTCATGCATATATTAACTTTTTTTTATTAATTCTAGGGATAATCTCTTGAATTACATCTAAAATTGTCTTCGTGAAATTTAGCGTCTTAAATTTAACCCCTTGTGTACAGGATCCCCCCTGCTGACTAAAATCATCTGTCGTTAGCTAAATAAAATAATAAAAGTGACGTCCCGTAGTGAAGGGGTTATGAACACTTACTCCACGTTTACGTAATATTTGTAATACGAAGTTTTAAGGGATGAATAAAAGTTTTGTGCTTGGATAGTGGCAAACAGAATATAAATTTTAATGTTTTTGAAGGTTAACGGGAGGAAAAGATTACCCTTCACAGCTATTCTTATTTATTATTATTATTATTATTATTATTATTATTATTATTATTATTATTATTATTATTATTACATACTATATTTTTAAAATTAACTGTTGACTGGTATGTACAGTATGAATAATAAGTTATGTATCTCTCTTAGTTTTCAACTGTTGTTGACTATTGACTCGTGTATTTATTAACCTAGAACACGCCCCTAAATACTTAGTGTTTAAAATCCAATATTTAGTATATTTGTTTCTTAGCTTTCTAGCCACCGAACATTTGAGATATTTTTATCGATATCGGCCATCAAATAAGGCTGCATGTGGGCGGTTTTTATGTACATTTACTATTCGCTAGGTGGACTGTAAAGCAGCTGCTTTGGCAGTCTACTGTCGTCCATGCGGGTAACATGGCCAGTCCAACGTAGTTGTTCATGGATAATGGTAGCCTCGATGCTCCTACAGTTGGTGTCAGCGAGAATACTGGCATTTGTTGTCTTGTCTTCCCAGCGAACTCGGAGTATGAAATGTAGACTATGTTGGTGAAAATTTTCAAGTGCCTTGAGGTGCCTCCTGTATGTGACCCATGTCTCTCTGCCATTTAACAGGGTGGGTAGGACCACCGCTCGATATACGTGCAACTTCGTGTGACTGAACCACGGGTAGGCTGAAAGAGAATCTGAGTCTTATGTACATTCACCTCAAGGCCGACATGTGCATACCCATCTGCTTAGATGTTCAGGATCTCCTGTAGGTCGCGTTCAATGTGAACAACAAGGGTGAGGTTGTCTGCATAATGGAAGCTGCCGACACCATTGCTCTTGCCTGGAGCCATCTTATGTTGAAAAGATCCTTCATCTGGTACTGGATGTCCACCCCACCGCTAAATTGGCACTGGCACGAGTATGGAAGACAGCCACGAAAATGAAAAAGAGAGTTGGTGTCAGTACCAATCGTCGTTTTACCCCTGTTTGGATGGGCAACAACTCAGACTGGGTGCCATTGTCCAGGACATTGCCGTTCATGCCATTGTGGAGTTGCCTCACAATGGTGAAGAATTTTGGTGGGCAGCCAAAACTGTTAACAGGGAAGCCCTATGGCGGACCGCCAGAGGACTTCCTTGTTGACCGAGTTGAAGGCCTTGGTTAGGTCGACGAAGGCCATGTACAGTCGCTCAAAAAAATATATGAAAAATATTGTTCATGACAATATGATACATCGGACGTATACTTTGGGAAATGGTAGAGGACCAGGCAACAGAGCCCAGACAACAGGGGTTCTATTGTTCGTTTTGACATCCATCGGACCCTACTTTTCAGATACTTTTTGAGTGACTGTACGGGTCACGACTTTTCCTGTATCTGGCGGCAGCAAAGATCATGTCAGTGGTGCCACGAGATGGTCTAAAGCCACATTGAAATTCTGGGAGGAAGTTTTCCGCCTCAGGAAGAAGTCTGTTTAGGAGGACTCGGGCAATAATCTTGCCAGCTACTGACAGCAGTGAGATCCCGCCATAGTTGCCACAGTCTGACCGGTCTCCCTTGTTATTATAAATATTGATGATGGAGGCGTCTTTAAGAGCTTGGGGGATTTCCTCCTTTTGCCATATATTCTCCAGGAGAGAGTGGAGATGGCTGGTAAGCAGAGGTCCTCCTGCTTTATACACCTCGGCTGAGATTCCATCAAGCCCTGAGGCTTTGTTATTTTTCATCTGTTTGATGGCAGTAGTTACCTCATCTAGGAATGGAGGATAGCTGAGGTGGGTCAGCGCTGGATGCTGAGGGACCTGCAGGGTAGTCAGGACATCCACATTGATGTTTCGATTAAGCAGTGAATGGTAGTGCTCTTTCCAGTGCTGAGGTTACCATCTGATGAGCGAAGGGGGGTGTGCCATGAGTGATTGGCCCATAAAATGTATTAGTGGAATTGAAAAATTTGTGCATCTTGTGTTGATCTGCAAGTTTTTGCATTTCTCATGCTTTATTTTTAAACCAGTCGTTCTTTAGATTGCGAAGTTCGCACTGGGTCGCCGCTTTCTTCTTGCGGAAGGTATCAGCTTTGGTCCGAGACTGAGGGTTGTTCTGCCAGTCAGTTAAAGCAGCATGTTAATCATCGACGAGAACATTGATTTCCAGGACATTTTTATCAAACCAATCCTCGTGTATTCTTTTGATCTGGCCGAAGGTCTCTCTGCAGGTTTTTGTCATGCCAGTATCGAGAATACCCCATTCGGCACTGGAATTGGGGTTGTTTGTTGTCAGGTTGTTTATCAGCCCAGGTTCGAGCTGCTCTCGGAAAGCTTGTGCGACTGTTGGGTTCTCCAAATGCTTAGTGTTAAAACCTCTTCTGGAGGCTTGTTGACTTCGTCGTTTTGGGGGATGTGAAGTGAGAGTTTAGCTCTGATGGGTCGATGATCAAGTGTCACAGTGGTCTCAGCCACGCATGGCTCGGGTGATGAGGACATCTTGGCGATCTCTTTCTCTGACAATAATGTAGTTAATGAAATGCCAGTGTTTGGATCGTGGGTGTTGCCACGAACCCTTGAACTTGTCGACCTGTTTAAACAAGGTATTGGTATAGTGAGGTTGTGTACAACACACTTGCTGAGGAGGAGTCGGCTGTTGGGATTGCACTTGCCTAGTCCATTTCTCCTTATGATTCCCAGCCAACTGTCAGTATCTCTGTCAACTTTGGCATTGAAGTCACCTAGGAGCATAACCCTATCTTTTCTGAGGATAGAGGTTAGCACTCTGTCAAAGTCGGTGTAAAAGGCCTCCTTAATGTCATCTTCTGCATCCAGTGTTGGGACTCGGAGCATCATGAGGTGCTCAATGATCCCAACAGGCATTTCATTTAACCTATGTAAGATGCATTGGCAGATGGCAAAGGCAGCTCCATATATGTGGTTTCTCTCCGCAGCAGGCTTACTCTTCCAAAAGAAGGTATAGCCAGACCCCCGTTCTGTGAGTCGACCCTCGTGTGGGAGCCAGGACTCACCATTGGCTGCTGTGTCGATGTTATACCTAGCCAGCTCTTTTACCACAAGGGCAGTTCTTCTTTTAGGACACTCATTTGTGCCAGTATCCAGAAGGCTCCTGACATACCATGCAGCAACCATAAGAGGTTGTATAGTTTGTTTTTGTTTTGATCTGTGATTATGATTGTGTTTTCGACCGCATAAGGATGACCTTATTGAGTGTGGTTGCCCAGTCAGGTTGGTTCTTTAGGTAGACTATGTTTAGGGCACCTTTTCTACCCCCCTCCCCATGTGGGGCGAGCAGAGTGGGTCCTTAAAAGGGCTGCTCATTCGCATAGACAGGAGCTGATTGCACTGCTGCCTAGATCCCAGTGCATAAATGACCATGTTAACTATGCCGCCCATGTGCAGAGTTGTGACTAGAGACTCCCGGCAGTCATCTCTGCCTATCCCCGTCGCCAGTCGTCTGTCGCCATAGGACTTCTGGGGTATAAGGGGTTGATGATGATGAGGAGTATGATGAGCTGGATGATGGCTGTGCCTGAGATGATTTATGTGGTGAGGCAGGAGCAGAGGCTGCAACCACACATCTTGGCTCTCCGCAACGACTGGGGAGAGGAAGAGTTGTAGCGGACTGCCGATAGCCCAGCTTGTTGGGTTTTGCCTTTGTAGCCTTCCTCCGCTGGTTTAGTCGTTGGGTTCCATGTTGGTCACCTCTTCCGCCTATACCGCCGTTGGGGTCTTGTTGGAGCTCTGTAAGCATGTCTGCCTGATGCTGGGCTCCACTGCTGATATTTCGTTCGGGGTTTACTCCCGTAGCCTTATACCTCCCAAGGTTAAACCACAAGGAAGCGGGGCAGTGGTTGGTAGGTGCCAGGACGTGTCCACATGCTAATGGGCCTATGCGCCATCCCTCTGGGGCCCACTTTTGCCCCGAGGTTCTCTGTTGGTCTAGCCTGGACCCACGAGGCACCCAGTTACAGTGTGTTGCCACGAGGAGGCACAGCAGGAGTCTTGATGGTGAAGAGGCTTGTGTACTGACAGGCGAAGACTTGTGCAAGTTGCTTTCCTGTTCACCACGAGGGCTAGCCAGCGGCGGTAGCTGAAAGCAAGAGAAAGCAAGCAGTGTCTGCACCTTAGCACTAACATACTGCTGCCACACTAGACGCATTCCACACACACACACACACACACACACACTTATTATTTCAAAGTTTAAAAC